GTAACCTTGTCGGGGAAAGCTTGCCGCCGTGAACAGTAACCTTGCCGGGGAAATCTTGTCGCTGTGAACAGTAACCTTGCTGGGGGAGAGCTTGCCGCCGTGAACAGTAACCTGCCGGGGAAAGCTTGCCGCCGTGAATAGTAACCTTGCCGGGAAAGCTTGCTGCCGTGAACAGTAGAAACTGTCGAGGCCAATCCGACCAGATGCTGAAGATGGGCTCAAATACTTATCTAGATGGCTTCGGATGAAGAAGTGTTCAACACGGGAGTTGTTCGTAACGTCGAAACGGCCAACTTTGCTTTTGGAGTCATCATCATCCGACGTAGTATACGACCTGCAGAGACGCTGCAAGAGTCGGACGGTCCAGTCAACTACATGAACGAGTCCGACTCGAAATTAGAGATGACCCCGTGTAGTATTCAAGATGGCCTTATTTGGAAAAGTGATCAACATACGGATTGTTGGCCTCGTCGAAGCACACATAATTGATATTTGAACCGTCTCCATCGGAAGTCATATGCAGATTCCACAGCCCACGCAAGGAGCAAGACAGAAGATTGGACCAGATTCGGGCTGAATCCGAGTGGGACCAGAACTAGGATTCTAGGACGTGAATTGATATAATTTTCTTGTAAGGAAAGCCTAGATAAATCATTTGCTTGTACTGGAAGTCCACCCGCCTCTTATATATGTTGGTGGTGACGGCCGATTGAACAACACACAATCGAACAAATCAATATACTACTTTTTCATATACGTTTTATCTCTCCACCGTTTTTCTATCTCGTTATTCGCTGTTCTTTGTGTTTGAGAGCTGCGAATCCCGAGGCTCTAGGGGCGAGCGAATCGACCTAGGGCAGCCCATAGCCGCCGCACTCCCTGACGGGGTCCCTCCCGGGGGTGTGGGGTTTTCGGGTCTGCAAAAAGCGCCCGTCGACTGTCCTGCGTATCGCGCTGTTGGTCGGGTCTCCTTCGACGTGAGCTGCGGTGCATCACCCCCGACGTCGAGGGTACACGTGACGTGTTCGTGTGTCAACAGAAACGAACCAGGTATAACCTCCCCGTTGATAGTAAATGTTTGGTAGCGGTCACTGTTTGTACAGTACATGAAACGGCACTGTTTGTGTGCATGGTGGGGAGATGACAGCGATCACGATTATTAAGGCAAGGGAGGCAATGAGTGATCAGGTTAGGTTGCTGTGACATAACAAACCAGCCAGCTAAATGCTCATAATGAAGATCGATCGACGTCAATGGCATCCATGACGCTTGGTGACTATACCGCTTAAACCACACATGTCCCCTCACCTACCAATCACGATCCCAAAGGCCCCATGTCCATCAAGCAACAATGATGACGACGATGAGTATCAGACCATCGGGACAGACGACGGAAAAGAAGGCCGAGCAGCACACACTGCTCACTGCCGCTCGTCAAAGGGCTAAATGTTGGTTACTGCATACTTGCACGTTGGGTTCGTAGTGTACTACTACTCTCCATGCGTGCATACCGTCCTTCGATTGATAGATCGCGGCATCTTGCCGCTGTGTATTAACAATTGGCTCAAATCGACCCGTCGTTGCAGCCAGCGAGTTGCAAGCAACACATGTGACATCCTTACTATACTCAAGTATAGGCACCAGGGCACCGGTGGGTAATTAAATATTTTGGGAATAACCTCAAGACCGGCAAAGGTCGCTATATTTAGCACACACAAGGAAGAACCAAAACCGAAGGAGAGCCCACGCACGGCCATCATGATCATGGCATAGGCAATACCATCCAAAAACACGGAAACGTGGTCACGTGCATCCACTTGAGCCGCATTATATTCAAGCCTCCAGATCCATAGATTAGCTACTACTCCTATCTCGACCAACAACCACATTTCCCTCACCCAACATCACCAGCGGATCATCCCAGCCGCTCACACGACGCCGGGAACAGACGGTACATATAAACCTATTAATGGTGCCGCCGGGATCTGACCGGCGACGTGAAGCGCGCATGTGCACGCACAGAGAAAGGGCAGCACGTACCACGCTGCCATAGGCAGGCCACCATGCATGCATGCATGCATGGCCACGTTGCGGCCCGGGCGCGCGTCCGGACCAGTGGTCACGTCCCTCCCCCACGGCACGTACGTTCGCGGCCAGATCGACCGCCAACCACCGGTGTGTCCCTCTGCCGCCTGTCCGATCCACGCGCGCGGCTGTCATTCCAGATTCCACCGACGCAGGCAGAAGAAGCTCGCCGCATGGATCTGCGCCGTGCCCCCAAAGCGCTCCCTTCACCAGTTCACCCTACCCGCTCCGCTCGCTTATAACCACTTTGCCACTCCGGCGACTGTGAGTGTGCTTTTTAGCCTTTTGCAGGTCGGGCACAGTGCAGGTTAAAGGCAAAGCACATGCACATGCGCCTACACCTACGCCTGAATGGGCTCACTCGCATGCCGACGGAGCCTCTGTTGCGTTGCTTGGATCCTATGCAACGCCTCACTCGACGAAATCTGCTTTAGGTGAGAGTGAGGCTGGTAGTACCGTCACTTCGAGAGCCTCATCTGAATAATTGCGAGAATGATTACCGGAGAGAATCATCAAGACATGATATCCATGCTACTACCAAGTCCCGGAACCATTATTATGCTGAGTACACTCGAAGTAAAACGACCGAATTATCACCTCACCTCACCTGACGCACAACCAAAACGGCATTTTCTTTTGAAACAAAAATTTCACCTTTTCTTGATTTCGACAGAGCTTAAACTATTTCCCCCAGAAAGTTTCTGGGCTGCAAAGAGGCCGACTGCTAACGGCCGGATAAGGAGAATGAAGTACGGCAGCATATACTACTACTATACGAGCATGTATAAAAAAGTACGTACACAGCGTTGAAAATTCGTGCTTATGTCGCAACAAAAAAAAGAAAAGAAAAGAAATCCGGTTACCCAAGGGAGCGAGACAGGGGGACGCATAAAGAAACGTCCCCAGGTCCATCCACTCAATAGACCTGGTAAAATAAGGAAACAGAGACGCACCAAGGGAAGGGGTCCGTCGGGGTGGTTAGAGTCCAAGAGGCGACGCGAGCCGACGGCGGACGTGCTCTCCTCTCCTCGCCTCCTCCGGCTCTCCCTCCCCCTCCCCGCATTCCGTCCCACCGCATTCCGGGTATATTTAGCCGCGGCGCAGGAGGGACAACCTCCCTAGAGGCAGGCAGGAAGGGGGAGGCGCGCGAGCACCCGGGCGGCCGTCTCCACCGTCGGTTCTCCGGCCGCCATCCGTCCAGATCCCTCCTCACCCAGGTTTCCCTCGCCGTCTCCTTTCCGGCGCCGGTGGCGTCCTCTGACTGACCTGTGCTCTGGATCTGGGTGCGCGCAGACGGCCGGTCGGGGAAGATGATGGGCGGCTTCGTCTCCAGGATCCTCCTGTAAGCGGCCGCCTTCCCCCTCCGTTTGAATCTTGAAATTTGAAAACGTGGTCCTGCCAAATTTGTCATTTTGGGCCTGGAAAGAAACTGATCCCAGGCGGCATGGGCATGCGCTTTTCTTCTGATTTTTCTTCAAATCATAATGCATTGGTTGCTGGTTGTTGCCCGTTCAGAGGGCTCGGAGTACTATTTTGCTTTAAAAAAAACAAATCGGGAGATGCCTTGCTTCCTGTCGATTTGTCAACCCCCTTCCCCGGCGTGAAATACGGGCCGGACGTATTCAGAAGTTTATTTATACTAGTACATGTCTATTGCCTCGAGGTCGAGGAGCATGGGATAAAGTTTTCAATGCATTGCACAACGGTCAAATGTTCTCTTCTCTTATGTCTTATATGCAGATTTATTCTTTTTGAATATTCTTGTCTGATAGTCAATTTCTAGAAATGCTTAGGGTCGGATAATGGAATATTGTCTTGGCATGTTGATTTAATTTGGTTATCTGCCAGTTTATGTCAAACTCACTTTTCAGGCTTGTTTTGAAACAAGCTCACAAATGTAACCAACATTGCCTCCACCGACATCTTTTATCGAGATCTGCCTCCATATTAGGCCCTGTTTGTTCGTGTTCTTTCGTGCAAGTGCCTCTGAAAAATCAGTCCTTTGAAGGATGCCGAGAAGCTCAAATTCAGTGCATCTTCAAAATGGCTAATTGCTCCACTAGCGGATAAAAAAAAAGCAGCCCGATGCGCATAGCTCCCGCTTGCACAGGGTCCGACCACTTTGGGTCTATAGTACGCAGCCTTTCCCTACATTTCTGTAAGAGGCTGTTTCCAGGACTCGAACCCGTGACCTCATGGTCATAAAGCGGATCAAAGTGTAAAATAAAACAATTTCTTCTTGTAAGTCCAATCACATGGAAAAGAACTTGATAATAAAGCAGGGATATTGTGTTTATAGTGTGTATTAGTCAATAAACACTTGCATTTTCTGTTTTGGTGTTTGATGCACAATTTACATGTAGGCTGGTTTTCGGCTATGCGTATCCTGCATACGAGTGCTACAAGACTGTTGAACTGAACAAACCTGAGATCGAGCAACTCATATTCTGGTGTCAGTACTGGTAAGGTGGCTCCTTCAGTTATATGATTATTAGAAGTTCACAGCATTAGCCTAGGGGAATAATTTGCAAATTTTGTTATGTTTCTTGTGTCTAGGATTTTAGTTGCCCTTATGACGGTTATGGAGAGGTTTGGAGATTTAACAATATCATGGTAAGAACACCAAGGATTGCACTCTTTCATCAGCTCTTTGGACAAGTCCCTAACATCAGTTTTATCATGTTGAAGGCTACCATTTTACTCAGAGGCAAAGCTGCTGTTCTTTATATACTTGTGGTACCCCAGGACAAAGGTACTCGATTTGTCCCTTGCAACTTCTATTTTGCATATTTCTCTGCACATTTAACTGATCTGTGCTTTCATTGCAGGGGACTACCTACATTTATGGAACTTTCTTTAAACCATACATTTCACAGCATGAGAATGAAATTGACCGGAATTTGCTTGAGTTGAGAGCTCGGGCCAGCGATGTTGTTGTCGTTTATGTCCAGAAGGTTGCTGCTGTTGGACAAAATACCTTCTTTGATGTTTTGAAGTATGTTGCGTCACAGTCACCATCCCAGAAATCAAAGCAACGTCCTCAGGTGCGAATCATGTGTACTGTATTATGGTCCTTTCAGTCAAAGCTATTGAACCAATTGATGTATTTTCACCCTGACGATGTTAATGCACCATTTAATCTCCTTTATGATTCGCTAGGCCTTTCTCGTTTTCTCTTTGCACATTGCATGATAAACGATGAAGTTCTGCATGTTATATGGTGGCCTCTAAAAATTCCAGCTAACATTTGTGATGTATATCATCTCTGTCCCGTGATAATAATCCAATGGCTCAAGTGTTTGGCATCCCTGAAATGTATTGCAGTTTAGGAACACTTAATATGAGTCTCTTTTGGATTAGGACAACTATGTAAAAATCTTGTCTCTTTTGGATTAGCATCATTGAGTCTAAACAATTGCTGTGATCTAGATCCGTGCTGCAGAAAGCTACATGAGTAGCTATGCTGAGTTGCTGATTACAATGCGCATGCCTAAGTCAGCAGAACTTTGGTATATATTGCTAGCATCTGTAATATGAATGCATACTGAACTACACATATGCATTTGACATATGAAGAACCTATCATATGCTGTGATAGCATATGAGTTCTTCTTGAGCCATAGGGTAAATTTCTGAAGCCTCTCAAAAGATGCTTTTTTTGTGAGTTTTATCATTACTTCATTTGGATCCTGAAGTGTTGCGTAATTTTGTTATCGCGATCTAGAAAAGGACTTGGTTCTCAGGAGAATTGCAAGTGGCAGTATTTTACTTAACAATAAAAACTATACCTTGGCTTGTACTGAACACCTGATATATAAGTAACTATGCATTATCACTTATCAGTTATTGAATTCCTGTTGTCATATATTTTCACTTTTTTCCCCGGAGAATATATTCAGTTGGAAACTAGGTAGGATTTTACATAATGCAAACTGCCTGTGGTAAGATGCCAGCATTTTATCCTCCTGTGTATTCAAAAGATTCACAATTTCATGTCTGCCATCTGGTGGCACTTGCCTAAATTGAATTGTATAGAAATATGGTTCATTTGGAACTGCTATAGAAATATAGCTGTAAAAAGTCTGTCACTCAGTTTGACAAATATATGTTGTTCTCTGCCATTTCATTTCATATGCCCTATAACAAAGAAAATACCAGTTTGCAAATTGATTAAAAAAATGAAACAGGTAGCCAAACACCCTGATATCTAGAAGTGGCTCATCCAAATCATCATATACTGTAATATGAAACAGAACATTAGTAAGCGCTGAAGTACCATCTGGAGTTAAACCTCAATCCTGCATTTAAATATAAGTTCATTTGCTAATGTTAAAACTCAGAAAGTTGCACCATCTGGAGTTATGGACTTTCCTTCCACATGTTGTACAATCTAATGCATAAGACATTAAGGTTTTTACTCTATGGCCGAAGATTGGTTTTAAATAAATTTGGGCTAATTTTTTATTTTTAGTACGCCTTGGAGGGCTCATCAGTTCCAGACTGGTTGTGTTAACTAATTCTCAAGAGTCAACATGATATCCATCTGTGCTTTCTATTAAAGTCTCAAATGCAGTTAATACTGAAATCATGTTTTGATTTTTAGGAACCACAGCAGCCTCAGCAACAGCAATCACAACCACAACCGCAGGTGCAGCAGCAGCAACCACAAAGGCAAGCGCAGCCTGTTATGCGCAGAGCAGCATCTATCGCTGCTCGGCAAGCAGCAATGGCACAGCAAGCTCAGGAGACCAAGCCCGTTTCCCCCAAGATCAAGCGTCAAGCATCAGCCAAAGGTGGTCCAGCGGCATCGGTGAAACCAGCCGCGGCTGCTGCACCCACAGCAAAACCCGATGAGAAGACAAAGAAAAGTGAGGCGAAACCTGCGGCCGAGCCAGTGCCGGCTCCAGCTGCTGACGCTGTCGCACCAAGGCCCGAGCCTAAGGCCCAGCCGGCCCCTGAAGCCGAAGCATCGGACGACATGGCGATCGACGAGGCTGACGTCGCCGTGGAGGGCGCCGAAGAGGTTGATCCTGCGCTAGAGGAGACGGTCATGGAGGAGACCATCCGCGTGACACGCGCCAAGCTAAGGAGGCGTGCCGCCGCCGAGGCGGGCGCGTGAAACCTAGCTGCAAACCATTGTTTTATTGGCGCATGGTGTTGTTGCTCCTATTTTTTGAGTCTTTTTTAGATTGTCATGTTGTCTGGTGGAGAGAATATCTGTTGGTCATCCAATTGGTCGTTCTGTTTCAGAAGTTGTCATCCGTTCCTTTCTTCTTTCCTGTGGCTCTCGCTGGCCTGTTTATGTGCCTGGAAGTTGTAAATATCACCGGGCATGTGTATATACAGATTGTTGGCATGTGCTACGACCTACGAATGCATCTATCCTACTGCTCTCTTTGGGTAAGGTAGTGTTTGTGCTTTGTACTTCCGGTGAATCTTTATAATAGATCTGATCTTTTTCGCAAAAAAGATAGTGTCTGCATTAAGCAATCGGCAACTGCATAATTGACATCTTCTGCCTCTCCTTTTGCATGAACTCTGGTTAGCTGCAGCAATTGCATCTCCCCATGCATACAACATTAGTGCTTGTTGGAAACGGCTACTCAAAAAGGGTATAGTGCAGTTGATTGTGCTGTGCACGTGTCAAGAGAACAGCTGAACAGGGATGCCCAAACCTGATAGGCCGGTAACTAAGCACCAGAAGTAAAGCATAGTGTTAGCCAACAACGGCACTTGTGGAAGCTTTTGCGGCAAGCGAAACGAACAATGGAGTCCTCCTGTACGCTTCACAATGCTGACACGTGTGTGAATGATTGGTAGAAAAAAAATTGAAAGCAGAGAAGGGGAGAGCTTTAGCAGCACACTTCAATGTCTTTTCTGGATCCATGAAAGCACAGATGAGGCCTACTGCCCTAAGTGATTGATCATTGATATAACATTGATCAGATACATTGGTCTCTTTTTTTTTTTGCAGGGGAGTTCCATTGATGTTGCACGAAGACATGGACCTTACTCATGGAAGACGATTTGTAGCATCGGGGTTTGATTAACTCTTACCTTCTTACCTCCCATATGAAAAGAGGGGGTAGATCAAAACACTACTATTTCTTCCATCGGGGTTTGAAACCTAGCGCCGCCACCGCGAGATCCACCCTTCCTCTCCCGTCGCCGCCGGAGGAAGATGCAGGGCGAAGCCGCTGCAGCCAACGGCGGCGGCGGGGGCCTTGCTCGCGTTGTGGGATGGCCCTGGTCACGGCTGAGCCACCCTCGGTGACCGCGGCGGCGGTTTTGGCAGGGTGCTCGGATTCGGCTCGTCCGGCTCCGGTGGCCTGCCTCATCGTCGACGAGAAGGTGATGTTGCTCGAGCGCGGCCCGTGGTCTGCTAGGTGGTGAAGGGGCGCTCGGGGTGGCGGGGTTGGCGTTGGCGCCCAGATCCACCTCGTCCTTCTCAGGTGCGTCGGGGGCTGACCTGCTCCTTTCCTTCGGCGTTGTCTCGATCCGGCCTGCCTCTGTACGCCGCTGCATCTTGTAGCGGCCCTCGGCTTCTCCGGCGAGCGGTTGTTCCGGCCTGGGGAGGCGTGCCCCTGGCCGTTCCTGTACTCGGTGGGGCAGACTAATTTCTGCCCAGATCCGGTGCGCGGCGATGTGGTCTCGCAAGATCCGGGCAGCACGCGCCCTGAAGATGTCATCATGGTTTGTTGGTTGCTCACGCTCCGGATGCAAAATTCTGGGTTGACTTGGTCGACGCGACGACGCCGGTGGCAACAACGGCTGTGGCTGTCATTTTCCTCGCGGAGGTGCCGCCTTGGAGCTGTTTTTGAGCCGCAAACCTCCTGTTTCGTTGTTTCCGGGTGAAAACCTATGGTCGGGCTTGCCGGATCGAGTGGCGGCGGTGTCTCTGGCATCATTCCCTTCTTGGAGGCGCCATCTTGGAGACACAAACTTTGGCTGGTGTTGGTGTGTCTGGATGAAGGGGGTGCGGCTGGTGGTGTGTTTGTGCGGCCGACTGGGGTCGACGGTGGTGTGTGATGTGGTGGTGGAGTGGTGGTGGTGCGGCCGGCTTGCGCTGGTGTGCACGGTGAAGCGATCCGGGTGTAGACTCGGCTCCTTGATGCCCTTCGGCTTCGCTGGCGGTGCCGCTGTTGTGTTGTAGCCTCGGTTGCGTGTGACTCTTCGTCCGGGTGTGGACTCGGTCTCTCATTGCCCTTCGGCTGCACCAATAGCCTTGAGGCACCATGGATGGTCTCGGTTGATGTAACACCCCGGTTGTAACTTTCCCTATTTGTACTCCAACTCTTGCCATTTCCGGCGTTAAGTTATATTTATTTCTCAGGTTCGGGTCTTTGTCTCCGTGTGTTGTTTTCTTTGTCATGCATCTCATATCATGTCATCATATGCATTGCATTTGCATACGTGTTCATCTCATGCATTCGAGCATTTCCCCGTTGTCCGTTTTGCATTCCGGCGCTTCGTTCTCCTCCGGTGGTCAATTCTAGCTTTCTTTCGTGTGTGGGGTTTAAACATTTCCGGATTGGACCGAGACTTGCCAAGCGGCCTTGGTTTACTACCGGTAGACCGCCTGTCAAGTTTCGTATCATTTGGACTTCGTTTGATACTCCAACGGTTAACCGAGGACCGAAAAGGCCCCGTGTGTGTTGCAGACCAACACCCCTCCAATTTGGCCCAAAACCCACCAAACTCTGCTCCATGTCCTAGAGCGTTCGATCACGATCGCGTGGCCGAAAACCGCACCTCATTTGGACTCTCCTAGCTCCACTTATGCCTATAAATAGCCCTCCCGTTTTCGGATCTCGGATCTCTCCCCGTCCAACCCTAAAAAAAACATCTCCGCACCGACGGACATGTCCGGGGCCTAGCCGGACACGCCCGCCGCCGCCCTGCGCCCAACCGGACGCTGCCACATGGCACCGGCCACACCCTCCGCCGTCGGGCCCGAAGGCCCGTAGCCGCCCCCGACGCCGCCTCCGCGGGCCAGAGGAGACGCCCGCACCGCCGCCCTTCTCCTCCGACACCGGCCGCCGCCCCGCCACCGCTCGCCGCCTCGCCGGGCCGGCGCCGCCCCACCGCCGCCGCCTGGAGCA